ACGGCGAGGTAAAAGCAGCTTAAAGATAACACTGTTTCCTCCATTTACTTTCATTCTGATCCTTGTTGGACACAGGCATATTTTATTTGGCTGAACCTACTTTAGCTGGTCGATAAATCACTGAACGGCTCAACACCACAATACCTTCAAGATCGGCTGTTGTATCAACCTTCCAGAACTCTCTAGTTCTGGAAGGTTCTGTATTCTGGTTCTGCTCTGAATTCAGAACCAGACCCAAAACATGGAAAAGCAGCATTCAGCTTCTATGCGCCACAAATCTAGAACAAACTTCCAGAAAACTGCAAAACAGCTGAAACACTGAGTTCCTTTAAATCTGGACTAACTACTTGTTTATAGTTGCCTTTTATTAATAACTGGAATGTCACTAATTTAATCACAATTCTAATTTTTCATTACTTTCCTTTATCATACCACTGTAATTATGCTTTGTTTGAAGTTTTATTTTTATCATCTGAAGCACTTTGAATTGTTGTGGTGCTGAAACTTGCTACTGTTTAAAATAAGAACTGTGGTTCTTCAACTGGGTCTCAAGAGGATGTGTGAAAGCAAAAAAACAAATTCTCTCAAGACATCGTGTAACTTCGATGTAGTAGTAGTCAGAAGTGTACATAAAGGTCGGTACACACTCTGACAGAACAGATACATTTGTTCTCCCTCTCAGAGCAGCAGGGACAAAATTATGTTGATCTGTTCTTGTAGTTTTGGTTTGGGAATTCTTCCAGATTGTTCTGGACACATCATGTGGACAGATCTTTGTTTCTTGCGTGGGATCCAAAAACTAATACACAAATGCTACAGTAGAAGGGACCCATGGGGACTTCCCAAGAGTTCTGCAGCCAAACCTATAGGTAAAAAGTGTTCCTGCCAGAGAAAATGTGATAAAGGTTGTTTTCTGAGACAGTGTGCCAAAGATCTGGCCAAAAACAGCTGAAGATGAGAGCATTGCAATAAGACAGAGCTAAATAAGCACAGTATGGATGACATTAGAATAAACAGATTCTACAGTGTTAAAGAAGAGCGTAAAAAATGTTACAGGGCCACTGAAACATCTCCAAAGGCTGCAGATGAGTAATGGAGGTGTCTGAATCTTGTCTCTAGTTTTCACATTGTTATTCTGGTTTTATGGGCCAGAAAGAGGCTCAGCGTACAAACTCTAATTGGCTGTTGTTTTACGTGAAAGCACAGCTTGTGTCGTATCCGTCAAAAAAGGAGGGAGGAAAAAAGGAGCAAATATATTTGTCAACAGAGATGCTCCTGTATTTATTTGGCAACCAGAAGGAAGGAAAGGGGACAGACATCACACATGGAACTGCATCGGAAAGGCTGGGATCACAGGGAACCAAAAAGGTTTCAAGAACCTCATATTTTTTGGTCAAGCTGGAAAGAGTGGTTTTGTTATGAGATCAAACTGCAGAATAAGACTATCAGAGGCTCTTCTATAAAGAACACTTCAATTGGATTCTAATTAGGCTTTGCAGACAGAAATATAGAACCTGTCTAGTAGGTTCCTGTCTATGAAAAAATCCTTTCAGAACTGTTGTGGTCTTACTGTTCTTGATGCTGCCTTGTTTTTGCTCAAACAGCTCATAGTCTAAAATCAGCAGAGCTCAGATCAGAAAGCTCTTCATCCATTCTGCATGAGCAGCACAGCAGCAGTTTTGCATTCATTCTAACTACATTTTCATTGGCCATTAAATTGCGCAAACTGAAATTACAAAAATGAATTTGCTTAATGGAAATGCACTAATTTTGAAAAAAAAACCTTAAGTTTGTATAAAAGTTTTTTTCACTAGGATATGGTGATTTTTCAGCCGTATTTAAACTCTTTTTTTCACTTCCTCCGAGACTCAGCCGGATGTCACAACAGCCAACAATGACGAAGAAGACAACAGGAAGTATTGGGAGGATGATGCCTTATTTTTGTTTTTTTGGACAACTTGCAACATCATAAAAAGTTGAGTGTCATTCAAACATGTTGAATCGATAGTTCTTCTATAAGACCTCCAATTAAAATTTTCTCAAAACACTGCATACGTAGCCCCTCCCAAGTAGACTGTGATTGTTGCTCCTGACCCACAATAAGATGCTAACATCTCCTCTGATTGGCTGATACATAAACACTGACAAGTTGACTGAATTATGATTATATTTCATGTAACTGTTTACATTTGTCACTTCAATAATTTTAAATGACTTGTTGTGCAACCAATCTTATTCACATTTGACTTTAATTGTATCTCAAATTCAATAGAAAAAGCTATTGGGAATTTTTTTTTTTTTTATCAACAGAATATTGCTCACATTTGTAAAGTAAGCTCAGCTTCAGTAACACATACTGGTGCTGGTGCAGTCAATTGACATAATGTCTTCCAAACCAGTTACTGGCAAGCTGTAGGTCAAAGTACCTGGTCAAAGTACAGTTTTTATAAGATCCTACTGGTTCCTAACATTTCATTTCGTGCTAGTTGGTGCTAATAGCGCCATAGTTTTTTACTTGTTCAGAGTACCAATTGGTTTTATGGAAACCTTACTCAGCTCATGCTGGACACCTAAGCACTGCTGTGAGCAGCGGGATGTCTATTGAAGCCAGCAGGAGCCCAGCCCATGTGTAGAACACATCTAACTGAGGCTTTGCCTTCATTAACCGAACTGTAATGGCAACAAATCCTTTTAAAGCTGACAATACCATCTACAGTCAGACATAAGCACTGACAACAGACTGTTGGGTGTTTAGGGAAAAGCAGTTGAGCCATCTGAAATAATTCAGTCTCTGTGTGGATCAGATCAATAAATCTATAGATCCAGCTTTTGTTGCAGTGCTCCCAGTATAAACTTTTCAGGTTTTGTTTGCAGAAGTCATATAAGGGTTTTAATAACAGTCTGCTGGTCAGGCCACTGAATGATGTTTAAATATCATATTTATCTATTTTCTTTTTCTTTTTACTTGTTTTATATAACATGCACATTTTCAGAGATTGTGTTTAATTTTAATTAGCTTAATGCATCAATATTCAAGGTAAAAGACAAGTTTGTGATATTTTTCACTCTGTTGTAGTGAAACTATGTAATTTGATTTCTTGATATCACATGCTAAATAAAACTGCTGAATTAAATTAACTTATTATGAATGCATGAAGCTGCATTTAGAATATTTCTGCATCAATCTAAAACACAACCATGCAACATGTTGTTCACATTTTTTTCAGTTCTAGTAAATGGCTCAAAATAAATCAAATGCAGCCCCTTCAAATATGTGTCATTCTTAAGACTGTTGGTAGTTGTGGTAAATATGATGTTTTTGCTGACCAAATGATCAATAAACATAATGCTGTTCATAAGTGAGATTTTTTTTTTTTTTTTTTACAAAGGAGAAAATAGTTGCTTTTAAAATTAGATACAAGATCTGAAAAAAATCACAGCAGCACTGCACACTGGCTAAAAATGCCCTTAGCCTTTCACCCTGAACACCAGAAGCAGCAGTAGATTTAAAGAGGAACATAATGAAGAGAGACACAGTAGAAAACAGCTCACTCCTGTATATTTAGCTAATGGACATCAGTGTGTGCGGGTGTGTGTGGGTGTGTTTCCTTTCACGTGTGTGTCCTGCTTGCTGCTCTCAGAGTCCTTCATCTTGGCCCTGGCTTTTATTGACCATATTGGAGGCCATAAATCATTGTGTGTGTGACTGCAAGTTTGTCTGTGTGTGTCTGTACGGCTGAGTGCCTCTCTGGGTGTGAGTAGCTGCACACAGCAATCTCAGGTCAGAGGAGCAACAGAGCGAGCAGTGTGTGCTTGTGTGTGGAAAAGCTGTGACAGGGCAACAGTATCCAATGTGGTCAACAGGCCAAGGGACAAGATGTACCCGACTGCTTCGCACCATTTTCCCACAGAAACGTACGTGCCACTCAGCCACGCAAAACTTCAGGCGAACAAATAACTGCAGGCGCGCGGAGATGCAGCTGGAAATGGAGATGGTGGGCGTTACACTTTTCACTTTATCGGCCCTGCAGCCTTCTTTTTAATCTCTCTCCACCTTATTATCTGTCTTTCCTCAAGGGTGGTGGTGCTTAAGTATAGATGGTGTTGAACTGGATTTGACATTAACAGCCCTCCATTAACATTTCTCACAGAGCTACTGGAGTGAGCAATCAAATCAAGCACTGGAGCAGACACACTGCAGGCGAGCACCACATGTAAACAAACCGAAACATGCACAGATACGGCCGTAAAGTCATGCATGACGTGACAGGAAAACAAAGTGTTGACCTTTCCAGTTCCCAAATGTCTGCAAGCAGAAAGGTTTAACAACGAGTTGGTGTGTTGCGATGGGCTGCAGTTGATGACTTAAAGGCACATCATTCGCTGCGATTTCCATTGTCCAGATAGTTGCTCAATTTGACATTTCCAAGATAAAGTCAGCAATTTCAATAAAACTCATGTATCAGCAAATAGTTTTAGCCCTTATTTTACTAAACTGCAATGGAAACATTTTTGCCAAGTGAGGAAAATATTAAGGGGTGTAAACACTTTGCTACATTCTTTGGATTAATTGCGGGTCAGTCCTGTAACACATCATATCTCCAGTGCCAGCACTAACACCCTTTCTCAATGCATCAGGTCATTGGAAATCACATGACTGACAGATCCATCATTCCATCAATCCATCTGCAAAAGGGAACTTTCCTTCCGCATTCATAACTTATATCAATTTTTTTCTTTCAGTGAGTATATTTTAATATTGCAGCTGTTTTCCCATTGGGTATGAAAAAGGAACCCCTTTGATATTTCCCCCCAGAAAGCTGAAAGTAAGCAGGGTGACAAATAAAACTAATCGAACTCCTTCCTGAACTGACCTCAAACGCATTCTGTTACAAAGTTCATAAAGTTCTTTGAACTTATCTGGATTAGATAAAAATGACCAGACAGACAAAACACAGATGTGTTTCATCTTATACACCAAGTAAATGTTTCCTACTCACAACTCATGCGCTGGATCTTAATCTTCTGATGGTCTGCCAAAAAAAAAAAGAACAACAAAACAGGTGAGATGCAAGCAAATGCATGAATATACTGTTTGTGTGAAAAAAAGAAGTGCATTTTTATAGAGATTTTTGAAGTGGGCACCCCTGCAGCTCAGAAAAAGCAGAGAGATAAATTGTCAGCAGCATATTTTTCTAAGTTTTTCTTCTGCTTCTCTCTCCTCCTCCCTTGAGATGGCAGCTTTTGTATCACCTCTCACAAAGCCTTCCAGAGAGTTCTTTCTGAGAATTGTGCAGATAAAGGCTGAGAGGGAGTTTAAGCTGGTCACTCTTTATGGTTCAACAGTGAAAAAATGGCAGATAGTAGTGGAAGGGTGGGGTGTGTGACAGACAGGAAACCATTGCCAGAAATCACACAGCAACATGACAGCTGTGGGAAAAGTTATTATATATATATATATATATATATATATATATATATAGAAATATAAAAAAAATGTCTTTGTTGAATGATAATTATGTTAAATCCAAAATTTCCAGGTATATATTTTTTTCCTTACTCTGAACAAGAAAATAACATATATATATATATATATATATATATATATATATATATATATATATATATATATATATATATATATATATATATATATATATAAAGGAGCATGCGAAACTGGAGAAATACCAGGGCATCAGGGAGGATCTAGAGAGGGCCTGGAAGGTGAAGACCACAGTGGTGCCTGTGGTCATCGGGGCCCTCGGGGCACTAACCCCCAAACTGGATCAATGGCTACAACAGATCCCAGGAATAACATCAGACATCTCAGTCCAGAAATGTGCAGTCCTTGGCACAGCCAAGATACTGCAGGACCCTCAAGCTCCCAGGCCTCTGGTAGAGGACCCGAGCTCAGAGGATAAGAACCACCCGCGGTGGGTGAGAAGGGAATTTCTCTCTCTCTCTCTCTCTCTCTTCTCTCTCTCTCTCTCTATATATATATATATATATATATATATATATATATATATATATATTTTTTTTTTTTTTTTAAAGGGTATCGATTTTTATTTCAGTCAAAAATCCACAAGATGTTACGTCCTAATAATGATGTCTTGTAGGGATGCGTCAATTGGAATCTGCTGATTCCAATTACCCATGAGGATTGATCACTGCAGATCACCAATCACTACCAATCACCAGAGTCGGCTGTTAATTTTTTGCTTTAGGTATAAATGGCAAAATGGAAAAATGATCTGGCAATAGATTCACCTAAATTAGACATAAACATAAAAAATACTTGCAGGCTCAATATAGCAGCTGTTCAGTCAAAAGGACAACTGAAAAACTTGCAATCAGTAAAATCATATATAACAATGAGGCTTTCTGTACCAGGAGTTACACGAGTCAAATAAATCTCACAACACTGTCTCGACCACATAATGTCAAGTGAAAAAAACATTAATTCAAAGTCAAATGCAGGTTGAATCAAAATAAACAACCCTGAGTTGCTGAATCAAAACTTTCTGAGAGCATAGCTTTGTTGATCTTCCTGACTGAGCTGAGTAAGTCTGCAGAATGCCAAGAGGAGGCAGAGGAGATGGATTATTTTTCCGTAAGATTATCTGTTTTAGGACAGCGAAAGTATTAATTAATATGTCAAATATTTTGCCGGTTTGTTTAAGAGACATTATGCAGCTAGAAGCAAACGTTCTGTGTGAGAGTTCACTGTGGAGGATGAACGCTTCTCTCTATGTATGACTACAAGCAGTGCGTAGAGGCAGCAAAATCAGAACCAGCGTCTTCCACCAACAGCTCATTGACTTCAATTATTTTCGGGGTTATTTGTTTAGCTTTCTTTCCATCATGTTCATCTGGGTGAGTATTGGTAGTTGTGCGCTGCTTTACCTTCTGCCGGTTAGCTTTTTCCCTGGATGTAGCCAAACTCTGTCTCATGTTTGTTCTTTAAATGTTATATTAGATTCGTTGTGTTGATGCATTTTGACTTGCTTCACTTCCGAGGTGTTTCTCCGTGGCAACACGCAAACGTCTCCATTCACTCCGAGCGTTAAAGTTCTTCACCACATTGCTTTAGAGTTGTTGGTGCGCGCTTGCGCAGTGCGAAGGAAAGAGAAGACAGCTGCACACAGACACTTACATACAGGTGATTGATTTTGGTGATCGGTGATCACCGATCATATACTTTTTTACGGAAATCAGCTGATTATGATCAGAGGCCGATCGATCGGCACACCTCAAAGTCTTGTATTTGTGATGTGAAATGCTGTTTGCAATACCATGTTTGTCAGTTTGAACTAATTGTCAAATTCATTTTGTACTCTTGTATGTCTGCATGCATGTGTGTATTTATTTCATATATATGTATGTTTTCATCTATTATCTTTAAACCTAGGTCAGGTCAGACAGGTATTTATGAACAATTAGTGAGATTGAACTATTTGGCAATTTTCTCAATAACTGAGTGATTCCCTGACTTTGTAATTCTGATCTAAATTACTAATTGTTATAATAATTACCTTGAGCAATTATTAAAGTCATTCATAGTTATAGCTGTCCTTGTCCCAGCACAGCAGCAGTGAATCACTTGTGGAAAACACAAAAAATGTTTTAACTTAATGAAGCAAAAAAAAAATAATTATCATAAAGATCATTCCCACTTTCACAGAGCATTACAGCTTTTTCACCTCTCTCTCTTTTATTTTCAGCTGCATAAAAGGTAGAAGAGAAACTGAACAACAGTGCAATCAGTTGAGCAAAACCTCTTCAGGAGCTTAAAAATGCGAATATACCCACATTTTTCTTCTTTGGGTAAAAAGGTAGCACTTTCTTTCACTGTTCTTTTGTCCAGGACTCCCGTCAAGCCTTCGCTTTAGATCCTTCCTCACTTACAAAAATAGAAATTATCAGACTCCAGAGAGATAAAATATGAATCGGCTTTAATTATAAATGTGCGTGGGCTTTCCTGGGATTGGCGAGAAGGTTGTGCTGTTCTGCTGAGAAGGGACTGCTTCACTGCGCTGGAAATTACACAAGTCTGGGAAAAAAAAGGAAGCAGCAGCAGCGGCACAGCGAAGTGGTAGTTATTTATTGATTAGTCAAGTGCAGCAAATGCCCTCTTTAAAGAATAGTACTCTTGGATGCATGTAGAGGGACAGTGAGTGAAAAATAAAGCTATAGGGGGTTAAAAAAATATTTCATAGCTGTGCTGAACACCTTGTTTCTTCTTGGCTGCTTTTTGTCTCCCTGAGGAAGAATAAAATAGAGAGATGCTGTCTTTGACAAAAAGCTCACTGGCCTTGGAATGTTATTTTAGGACCCCTGCTGTAGAGATGAAAACATGCTCTTAATGAATCAGGAGAGACCTCTGTTCCATCAGTCAACACACCTGTGCTTTACCTGTTAACACTGTTAGTTCATCTCAACAAAAACTGATTGTTGGATTTCTTTTACACATCACATTATCCCTGTATCATGACTTTATTAGAAAATTTATGGTGCGTCTATATGGTCAGAAAGAGTTGTACAGTCATTTTACCACAATTCAACTGCTGAGAGGAGTTTTTAAATGACTATTATAAAACCTTCTTGAGACAAAATCTCACTTGATATTTTGCCTATTCATTATTTAGTCATGTTTCAACTGAATGATTTCAGTTGAAGTCATTTATATTTTTAATAAATGTGATGAAATTGTCCACAAATAATGGAATCAAAGACAGAGGGCTTGAAGGATGTTACAAGCATTATTTCATTCAAACAAAAGAGAATCTAATAATCTGTCCTAAGACAGATTTTCATAACATGCAGGATGTTAACGATTACCTTCCAGAGGTGGGCAATCCTCATCCTCGCGGGCAGGCGTACTGCAACTCTGCAACTCCAACACACTTGAATCCAACAGCTGAATCATATCTAGAGTGCAGTCAAGTTTTCCAGAGTCCTATGACCTCAGGTCTGTTGAAGTACAGATACATCTAAAAGTTGCAGGAGACAGGCCCTTGAGGCCTTGAGTTCCCCAACCTTGTCCCAGACCAATGCATTTCTGACTACATCACTCTTCTACACAGTTAATCTTTACTTTTACAGTAACAACCACAAATCCTCAGTTCTTCCACTGAGGATATGCAAAAATGTAGCCTTGCAATAGGCTTCTGATTCTCATCTCCCTTCAAATGCTCCATCTGAGATTTCTCCCATTGAGGTTGATTTCTCTGGTGGAATTTGAACCTGGGAGTCGGCCAATGGAAGGAGAAGATGCGAACAGTGATGTTGGTTCTCTGTGCTGTTTTTGAATTGAAGTCTCCCTATATATGGTTGTATTTTAGCAATGGAAGTGAATGAAGTGAATGATGGCCTTCAGTCCATGCTCACCACATTTCGAAATATTGAGCCACTGCGATCAGAGCAAGACAAATGTTTCAAACATTTAATTACTGGAAAAGATTTTGTCACCCAACTTCAAACATGGTTGTGTGTAGCACAAGCAATTTTCTGTAAGTTTCATGGCGCTGAAACATTACATACATCACAGCTCAATGTTAACATTTGGGTAAAATTAGATCAGATCTTTTCAGACAAAGTCCACACCTTCACCAAGGAATCATTTCTCAATAGCTGAGGGTCTGAATGCCTCTGTTTAATCCTCATGCTGTCCTAGTTTGTGAGAGGCAGATGTCATGATCAGATGACAGGGAAACAACAGGTTATAGTTAAGTGGTATGTCCTACTGGTATTTCCTGAAATTACAGGTAATTCTTAATTGCTACAGCATTTTTTAACATATAGGAAAGTCTGTCATGTTATGAGTTTTTGACAAATAACAGCTTATGGTGAAAAACAAATTAAACCAGTGTCAACAAATAACCAAACATTGTAACTTCAGAAACTTTTTTATCATCTGACCAGATAATACTGACATTATTTTCTGTTACAAGGCATTAAGACATGACTCAGGGAAATTGTATTGCCATTAAAACAGATATAGGAAGTCCATGTCCTACAGACCCAGATCTCT